CCAGTTCGACCGCCGCTCAGGTAAATTTTTAAAACTTTTTTAACGTTGGCGGAATTCAGTAGCAAAAATACCTTCCTCTCCACCGGCGAGGGCACCCGAGGCCGAGAGCACCATGAACGACCTCGTTTCGGAATACCAGCAGTACCATGAGACGACGATTGACGGGGAAGGAGAGTTCGACGAAGAAGAGTGCCGACGAGTGATAATAAATACACATTAACACTGTAAAATTAATTATGTTACAAATAAATTGCAGCAGCGTGCACCACAAACACAACGCGATTGGCAAATGTTTCATCGAATGTCCCCTTTTAGCATCTCACTGGCCAAAGAATACTTTGACTGTTTATCCAATGCTTCCGCCCGCCAAATGGCACAAGAAATGTGCCCTCTTCATGTGAGTTAAGGTAATTAAGTTGAGGTAATCTTCCTTCAGGAAACACTTGTCCGGAATCTCCAGCAGTAAATCTACTTTCAGTGGTGCACGATCCGTTGCTGAACGAATTTGAAGCTTTTCTTGGCGAGAACATGCGGTTAACCTCTTCATAATCCACATCCTAAGACATCGTTCATTGTCCGCATCTTTTATCGTCCTCAAAAACTTCCGGAAATCACCCAACCAACGCTTAAAATAATTTAACACCTTGAATTTCACCTTCACCTCGCTTAGCATCTCTTCCACCTGCACCCGGAACAGATTCGAGTGGTAGAAATATTCCGTTTCCTTCAACCGATTGATTTCCTCTACCATTGGCGGTTTGTATAGCTGCTTCATGGCTTTGATCTTCCGTTGGTGTTCTTCGTCTGTTCGTCGCTTGGAATGGCTTTGCACTAAGCGCCTTTCGATTTCGAAGATCCGACAGTCGTGACTAGCACAAAGCGTCCACCTCTTTCTTGACCGCTGTCCCTTTCCAGCTCTGGCAGCCCAAAATCGTCGTCGTCAATTGAGTTCCCAGGTTTCAAATAACAAAACAAAATCAAGAGTTGTCGAAATACCGGGTTGCCAAACAATTAATTATTCACAATTAAACAAAATTCAGTTCAATTACTTCTCGGTACTGCCGTGCCAGCTGCGGCACACTGAGGTACACTGAGAAAAAAGTTGGCGCAAAACAAGTGTGTAGAGTGACCACCCCTTGCAAAAATCCAAAGATATGAATAAAAAACGTGAGTTTTTGCGGTTTTGACAATTTTCTAGTACATTGGTGATGCAAAAAAAACCACTGAAAAATTGAGAACGAAAAACGAAATTTAAGGGAGTTCCCATAAAAAAATATTTCATAACATTGAAAATACTGGAACTATAATGATGATTTTTTCAGCAAAGTAGCTTGTTTTAATATTTTCTACAACATTGTTCAAGATTCAATTCCTGTTTATGTTATTTTTTTTCTATTTTTATCGAAGTAAGACATGACTATTTTTTGTAATATCAATATTGCTCATGAACTGCTATAAGCATCATTACTCTAAACTAAATATTTTTCAAAAATTTTAGCTCAGAAATGACAAAACATACATCGCTGACTTTTTAATATGTAATGTAAAACAGAACAAATTTTTTTGATTAAAAAAACCAAGCATCTTTGGTCCCGAGACCATTAAAATCATGAAAAATCAATTCTAATCAGTCTTTTCCAATGCTAAGCCACGATTAAAGACCATATTTATATTATTTCAAAAAACTGGATTTATCAACTCTGCACACTCTGCCGAAACACATCACGGCACACTGCTCGGCACACTAGGGCATAAAATCACAAGAATGACACAGAATATATTAAAAAAACGGCATCACTATTTTTTGCTGAAGATTTTCCAAAATTTGCTAAGGTTTCGCACTTTGTTGACAGTCGCTGATCTTCGCTTCAGGATGAATTTCATAAATCCATCGGACTAGACGATCGTATTCCGGATTAGAAGTCAAACCTATAGGACTTTGCTCGGATCTCTCCCGCAGCCAGTACTTCTTCTAATTCCCTGCAAGAGTGGTTAAAGTGTGGTGATAAATAGCAGCAACAGAAAGAACTAGCTCACCCTAAGGGTCATCCACTTTTGTTTGTCGTTTCCGGTAGCGACAATATCGGAAATCACGAACTACAAAGGTCAATTCCACAGGCACGGCACGGTGGCCAAATACATAGCTTCATACAAATCATCCTCCTCGGATGAGTGATCTTCATGGCCACTGTTTGAGATACCTTATTGTGCAGTCTTAGACATAATTAGGCTTTTTTAAACATTGTTTTATGTTTTATTCGTCTAACAATACAGGCATACCTCAATTTAAGTAACTGATACTTTTGACTTCCATCGTCGATATCTCACAAATAACAGTTCAATGATTCAAATTGGAATGAACAATAGATGGAGGATTGTCTCATATTTTCGATGGTGTTATTACATTGCAACCATTAATGTCAGCTAGAAATCAGCGATGGAACATTCAAAGTGTTTTTATGTTACTTCATACGTGAAGTTTGTGATTTTCAGAGTTGGTTGGAAATGCTATCTAAAATGAAGCTTAAGTGTGATAATTTATTAGCTAGAGAATGGGCTTTAGAAGCGAGTAGGTAGATAGTTCCGTTAGAGTACGGCAGTACGAAAATTGAATAGAAGTTGAAAATTAGCGAAGGACCATTAATGCGACAGTCCAAAGTCAAACGCACACCTTTTGCCTAACCCGTACGATGTACGCGAAGATATGAAGTATGTATTCAAAACTACAGGCAAAAAGTGTGTGCCCACCTTTGCTCATTACTGTCTGCGGCTGTGGAATAGTTCTAGCGACGTTTCATCACTACCTAAGAACACTTTGAATGTAACAACTCCAGGCGGGAGCAGCCATCAACAATGCTGATGATGGTACAGCATGCAACAACCACCCTACTGCTTTCTCTCTGAGATGACCACGTTGATCATGACGAGAGAAGCAACTCAATAGTTGGGTAAAGAAGAATTGCATTTTAACTCATCATCGACTGGAAATGCTTTCGGCGACGTGAGGCTTTAGGTAGTGATGAATTGTCGCTAGAACAATTTCACAGCCGCAGACAGTAATGAGCAAAGGCGGGCGCACACTTTTTGCCTGTAGATTTGAAGACATACAGCTTTCCCCCGAAGAACGTGTTATGCACTGAGTTCTACCCACCGTTTGATCTCGGTGGGTTTTCAGCCAAGCGCTTCGATTTTCTGCGAGTGACTAGTTCAGACCGACTCTGATTGAAAACCCGCCGAGAAAAACCGGTGGGTGCAACTCAAAGGGTAACGCGTTCTTCGGGGGATAGCTGTACTTCAAATCTTCGCGTACATGGTACGGGTTAGGCAAAAGGTGTGCGTTTGACTTCAATTTTTATACTGCCGTACTCTAACGGAACTATCCGCCTACTCTCTTCTAAGATCATTCTCTAGCTAATAAATTATGACTTCATGTTAGATAGCATTTCCAACCAACACCGATGGAAGTCATAAGTGACAGTTACGTTACACCAAGGTATACCTGACTACACTTCAACAGCCTAAACACGATCCTTAACCGCTTCGAACCATGTTCTTGGCATACAAGAGGATCACATTCGACACCTCGAAGTTGTTCACCTCGAGAAAATCGATCTTCATGTAGCCGTCCTCCGCTTGCAGTCGATTGAACAGTTCCACCTCCACCTCGCCGTTGTTATCGTTGTTGTACCATAGAGGTAACTCTAAGACTAGAAGGTCCCGAAATAACGTGCTCAACTTTTTGGCTCAGCTCTGGTACTCTTTTCGGTCCCAAGCTAATCGATTCACCCCTCGAAACATAGGAGAATCCACTAACCCCTCATTTTATCTGTCAATCTTTCATAGCGAATCAAAACAAACATAGTGTAGTACTGGAATTTTGACTAGAATGGGGTACGTTAATCGTTTGCTTGGGACCAATAGGCTAGTCAAGTAGTGAGCCAATTTAAAATCGTTAGTTTCGTATTGATTGTTGGTTGTACTGTTCCTTAGCCAACGCCATGGATGAAGAACCACATCTAACTTTCCAGAAACGGCATGCACCAGGGCTACAATCAATCTTCTTGGAACAGATTTGGTTTGGTTTGCTTATTCTAGGGTAAATTCCGTGCTGCGGCAGTGATTTTAGGCTGTATACATAAATTTATTTTTACCACGCTTTGTTTTCTTGCACAATCACAAATAAACAAACACAAAAGACATTAAATCTTCAGGGTGGCCAAGCTCATGGGATACTTGATTGACACGCTTCGGCACAGCGGTTGGCTAAGCTTTCGGCACAGATTGAGGTGTGCAGAGTTGATTCCCCCTTGAGATTTATTAATCTTTCATTTGACCATTTGATTAAAAACCGGGTTTTGGGGTTCAAAATTTAACCCCTAACACGGTTAACACGTAAGGGGCCACCTTAATGGGGAAATGAAAAAAATACGGGTCTAACATTTTTCCATGAGGAACAACATTACTAATTGTTACGATTTTCTGAGATCCACTTTAACTTTTTGTTTATGGTATTTCTGTATTCTGAAAACTAGCTTCACGCTCAAGTATTCGAAACAAACCGCTCGAACGACTAACGAAAAAAAAATCTGAATACCAGGAAAATTCCTATCGATAAAACCGGAGAAACCCGAATAAAAGATCCAAACCTTTCCATCAGACGTCGGATAACCGTCAAAAACAACCCTGTAACCATTTTCCAAGAACATGGAATGTTACCATATTTCAGACCGTAAACATAAAACGCTACACCTGTCGATGGAATGTTCCACACCGAGATGGTGCGGTTCTGTCCTTATTTGTTGCTATGCTATGCTGTGAACACCGGAAGGCAAAATAAAACCCAAGTAGACTGGGGTGAGCCATCCGTCGAAAAGCAAAAGGCCTTCGGCGCTTTGATCATCTGGTTCGGTTGTCAATGTAACTGTCATAAAATGTGCAAACCATTTACCACAACCATAACAATTTGATTACGTTGTACAGCATAGAACATCAGCACTTACCTCACAAATCAGATTCCGTTTCGTTAGCCGAGAAATGCCAATCCAGGGTGAAGAATGCTTCCTTGCCGTTCGCCGCCGCCGCCGACTTTCTGCGTCTATATTTCACTCACTCACTCGTCTGCCTCAATTCATCGAAGCTGAAAAAAATCGTTGTTTCACTTTTTTTTCTCTCAGCGCGCTATACAACCAGAAGCATAATCTCGAAATTATTTATCTTCCTTCCCACTAAGCAGGAGTAGCAGCATCTCAGTAAGCGACAGCGGTAGCCATGTCAACCACTGCCCGCCGCACTAAACATTCGCGACGCACCACCACGGCACGACACACTATTCGCGCTCTCTCGACACACTCACACACGGAGCGCTCCCGCACGGTTCTACACGCCAATGACAACGCTGATGGATTCTATTTTAGTTATATAATGCGATCCAAACATTTTTCTTCATTTTTCATTGCTTCCACCGTCGCCAGCCTCCAACCGGCGTCGCGACGCCGTCGCCGTCGTCGAATTCGTGTCACGGTACGACATTTCTCTCGTTCTCCGAACACGGGCGATCCGTTTTCCGCTTGTGCTTCGCCTTCTCGCTAGACTCTAAACTTTAATAGATATTTTTATTTTCCCTAATACTTTTTTAATACTTTTCTCGTTGTTCTTTCGACTTTTCACAATTTTCCCTCTGCCATAGGCAATAGACAAACAGGTTTTTTTTTCCCCTGGCTGCTACCTTCACTTTTCGTTTGTTTTATTTCGATTTTCCTCTTCACCGCCTCCTAGGAAATGATCAAGCCCTGAAAAAAAAAGAAGAATTCACACTTTGAAAAATAATCTTTTAATTTCTTGGCATGCCGCAAATCTTCTTCCTCCTGCTTCCCGTGCGACGGTGAAGCACACACTTGTGATAATCGTCCCGCAGAGGATGCTCACTGCTTTTCACACGGCAAATTCCGGTCGTTATCCTTTGTTCATCCCATTCCACTTATCGTCGTCGTCCTCATCGTCACCACTATAGTTCCCAAAGACCGACCCGCACTTTCAAGTGCCATCCAAGCAACCGTTGAAAATCCCCCGTCACACCAGAGTCAGGACAACAAAGCAGTGCCTCCTTCGACTCCCGCCATCGCCCGTCATAGTAGTCATAGTAGTATAGTTCTTCTCAAATCCGTTGAGAACGAATCCTCCCAAGCATCGAAGGCTCAGGCGGGAGGCGAAAGAAAGCCACACAAAAACAATTATATAACTTTTGTGCGACATGGCACATGGAAATCCCCGACAGCAGCACACACTTCATATTCGGCCTCTTCTATCTTGGAAGAGCAATCCGCGGTTGGTTTATCTCGGCACAAATGGAATAATGAATGGATGATGGTTGGTGGTGGTGGACGAACGAACCCAGTGACCAACACGGATCGAGCATGGGGAGAGTGAGCGTGATTGCTGGAGTTTTTTTTTTGCAGAGCGAGCGAGAGAGAGAGAGAGAGATTGCACGCGATCTTGGACCAGAGAGCAGAGTCAGTAGGTAGCGATGACCGTGGTCCTTGGTGGTGAACCGTCTGGCTATGGCGTGTGTCGTGTGGTGGACCGGAAAAGTGGGACACGAGGGAAATGCCACTGGGCTTACTCGCTGGCTGCTGAACCCTGAGTGTAGTGCGAAAAGCGAAGCGAGCGATGAAAATGATCTGCCTCAATTTTGATTGTTATGAGAGCAGCTGCGGGCTAGCTTATGCTGTTATTTTTTGAAAAAAAAACTTTTTTTTTGTTTGGTTTAGAGAGTAGTGTCTGTATGGGTGTAGTGTTGTTGGTGTTATTTATTCCCATCAGTAATTAAACGGTCAGTTGTGGTTGACTGCGAGGGACCCCAAAACTAATTAAATTTCAAATGCCATTGATAACATTTAGTAATTCAAACATAACAGTTGTATCATAATATACCGTAAGCGTGATAATGTTTGCACCATCGTACAAATAAGGCTCCCGTTTCACCTGTGCATACAATGCCTTGGTTTTCTTTGCATGCACGTAACGTATAGCTCATACCGTAGTAGGCTGTGTGTAAAAAAAAATGATATACTTAGTTTGACAGTTGCACCATGATGAAGTGGCAGCGTATTCGTGATTTGTCCCACGCGCAAATGGCGCAAAAAGACTTTTCAATCGCCGTGGGAGTGTCCCGGTGGACCGTCAAAAGGGTTTTAGACCTAGAAAAGAAAGGAAAACTATCCGCACAGGTCGTCCGAGGTCAGCTCGGGTTCCGAGGGTTATCGCTGCTATCAAAAGGAAGATTCGGGTGAATCCAGTGCGTTCAATAAGGAAAATGGCAAAGGAACACGGGATCAGTGAGTTTACGGCACGGAAGATCGTAAAGGAAGATTGCGGGGTGAAGTCGAGGGCACGGAAAAAAAACTCACATGATTACCAACCGCATCTGGGAGCTACAAGTCGAACGATGCAAGAAAATCTTGAACTTCCTTAAGCGAAAAAATCCGGTAATCCTGTTCACCGACGAGAGCATGTTTACCGTCGATCCCGTATCAAATTCCATAACCGACCGGTATGTTAGTTCTCTTCCGGTAAAAAACGTGGCCGACGAGCACAAGAACGTGTATCTGACCAAGCATTCTGCTAACGTTATGGTAACGGAGGTCTACATCGGGATTTTAAGTATGTTCTTCCGTGGATCAAAGAACAGTGCGGTTCGAAAACAAATGTTGTATTTCAACAAGATGGGACTCCGTGCCACACCTCGAACCGCACTCAGAAGTGGTTGCAGGAACATCTTCCGTTCTGGGCGAAGGATATTGTTACCGGTCAATCACCGCCAACAATGGCTTTGAAGTCGATTGGCGATGTACAGTTTTTGCGAATATGATATTTAACTGTAGGTAGCTAGTTTAGTTATAAATTCAAAACTTTAAGGTAGGCTCATCGGTTAGTTAAGTTTCTGTGTTTAGTATTATATTCCTTTTGCCAGTTTATTTTGTTTTTGTTTTTTAATTTATGTTTAACATAAATATTTAAACCCAGTTAATAAGTTGACCAGCAAATGTATATAACTATTTGTAAGACTTTGCATGTAGTCATAAGCATTAAGTACAAAAATAAAGCCATTGGACAAGCCTAAACCACGCTTGCGTTATTTGTCCTTTGTGCTCCCTGAAAATAAAAACAAAAGACGGCAAAGTCCACACTCGATTTTAAACCAAAAAAAAAACACTACTGATCAACCCACCGTGCGCAAACGCAAAGCACAGTTGACATCTCCAACGGGCGAAATCGGAACGTTTGTCTATTTCCGCCTGTCAACGAGAAAGTGAGAGTGAAAGAGGGAGAGAGTGAAACGAGAGAAAGAAGGAGATATGGCCTAGGAAAAGCGGAGGTCGGCAGAAAGTACGGGACGATCAAACGAACGAGACGCTTTTTGGACAAGTTTGTTCAGTGGAAAAATAAAAACCAAAAAAAAATCAAACGTTCGGGTGGTGTGCGGAGTCGATTGAGGTGGAAGTGTCCGGAAAAAGTTCACCGGGGCGTGACGGCTGAGCCAAGTTCGTGGAGCCGGAAGAGTAGTGCCAAGCCCAGATTGGGCTGAAGTTTTGCCACGCGGGAAGTGCCAGAGTAGCCCTCTGACGGCCGAAGCAACCTGTGGGAGGAGCCAGTGAAGCCCGGAACTGTGCCTGGCCGAAAAGACCACGTAGGACTATCTGGACCGTGGCGGAACCGTATCTACCAGACGGAAAGCAGATCGACCGGAGAAGTCCAAATCAACGTTCCCCTTGGTCGGACCGTTGACGTTCCATTGAGTGGACCACGTGGGAACTCCAACCTCGAAGAACCTCACCATTGACGGACGGGCTACAGGACCCTGGGTTAAGGTCAAGCAAGCCTCCTTTTCCTGGAATAGATCCGTTCTGGCATCCGTTCGGATTCAACCTCAGGTGCAGGTAGTCAGCCGAGTCCCCTTCGCCATTTCGGTGACTACACACGGTCGTGGAGCGGAGGAACGGACCCCAAGGAGGTTACCAGCCTGGTGAGGACCAGCGGGTCCGCCCCCGCTTGCCAGTGCTTGGAACCGATGTGTTCCCCCGCCCCCTTTCGTGAGCACCCCTCCAACAAGCAAGCCGGATCAGGTATGTCAGCAGAAACACACTCTCTCTCGCACTTCAAGCATGTGAAGGGCCCCACCAGCAGCTGAACGGCCGCACCGATACCCTCTCCCAAAAATTCCCTCCTTCCCTCACCTCTCATATGTCCTAAATAAAATGTTAAAATAAATTTGTGACGTTTATTCTTTAATACTAGAGCCTTAGGTTTGCATGCGAGTCCTCTTCTAGTCGTGATTGGTTTGGTTGGTTGTCCGCTTTGTTCCCCAAGAGTCTGCCTGAAGTACGTGGGAAGCCGACCCAGGATTAAGAGTAACCCTGAGCTAGCCGTTACTTACAATTGGCGATCCACGAAACAAAATATTCGTAGTTCACAGAATTACGAATATTTACACGTACTCGGGGAGACTCACGATAACTGCTTTGAGTGATTTATCGTGAAACTTTTACAGTTTCTTCGACAAAGTGGATGGCGTAAAAAAGGTTAAATCTGTTTGATCATGTATAAAACAAAGAAGTGAATTTTCAGTTTTGTTCCTGAACACGTATGATTTCTTTATTTTGCGATATGACTTATATTTTTCCTAGCAGTAATTAATTTGTGAATTCAGAGTTAAGGTGGCAAATTACAGTGAATTGAATTTCTAAATTTTTAGATTAAGGTGTAAATATATTAAGTTTAGGAAAGTTGTTAAGTTATTGAATTATTGAATTGATAGTCTTGAATTGTGTGAAAATGGCAGAAGGAGGACAGATTATCGAACTATTAGAGGAAGACTTGGATAGGCTGTTTTACGACATTCGCGTAGACCATCTGAATGGAGATGAGCTTGATTTTGAATTGGAAATCAGGGATATTGTATTCGGTCGAAATGATTCGATGTCCAGGAAACGGAGAGCGTTGAGGGAAAAGTTAAAACTAGAAAGGGAAGACCCGACTGTAGACGAAAGAATACTAAAAAGAGATCCATACGAAGAAGTAGTGAGTTGTGAGACAAAATTGCAACAAATTGAGGCCAATGCAAACAGTACGATAAAGGACTTACCTTCGAGGTGCCAGTCCGCGGTACTACACTTAGGTAGAAGAGTGAAATTACTCAGAAAACATATGGGATTAGAAGGTCAGTTTCAGCTGGACAACATTCAGGAAAGGATTTTGGTGTATCTGAATGAATTTTTTTATAACAAACGCCAACCGATGGAAAATTCCGGCTTGGGGTTGGCGAAATTGTTTGACGAAACAACAGATAGGATTCAGACCCCAGCGACAACTCCTATCGTAGAAAAGACAACCACATCGACTTCGTGTGAAGATGAAATTCTTCAATCTTTGTCTCGGTTAGGTTTGCTAGAATCGGAAGATCCAGGAGCTGACGATGTTAGAAATGGTCTTTTGAACTTGGAACAAGAAATGTATCGATTGCGCAGATGTTAGGAAGTGTATTTTCTTCGACAGCATGACTCAGTTACAACTACATACACGGGAACAATCCCGAAATCTTCATCTTGCAATTCAAGTTCTGGAAAGCATGTTAAAATTGTGGAGGCAACTCCTTCATCTCTGTCGTACTCCCAAACTCCGAACCCCAGGTGGATAGGAAGTGGATCCCAAACGGAGGAAAATTGGGGAATTCCCGATGGCATAAGGCAGCCCCCTGCAGTCAATACCGTAACGAACCCAACCCTATTGTATA